TGGCAATGTCTCAAGATTTAAAAATACACCTTTATTGAACATACAGTAAGACAAATACTACAAATCCACATAAAAAACTATCAAAAATGAAAAAGGGTCGCCACTTATTATTATTTTAAAAAAAGAAAGAAGAAAAGTAAAAAAAGAAAAGAATTGTATTTTTGTTGGGTACCCGGCTGGCGCCCCCTAGCAGGGGGATGGGGTTCAACAGGTTAAAGCAAACCAACGCTGTCTTAACCCTTATGTTGTGTTCGAGTCTCCTGTGACCCGTTTCAAGTTAAAATTATATGATAACTACGCTCTAGTTTTTTTGATCGGAACAAGGCTTCATGATATCCTCCACAACAGCAATATAAACACTACACAACTGATTTTCACAATAATGCCAAGTCTGAAGGTCTCTAATTTGAACCTGGTCTCCCCCCTCTCTCTGCCCCCCCCTCCCCCCGGGAACTCGACCTTTCTCAAAGAATATGTACACTAACACTTGAACCTGAACACACACATGCACGTGTGCGATATGTGGTGTAATGTGTTTTGGGCCATAACATAAAATGACAACAGGATTGTAGGGGTATGAATGCATTATAAGTTAGTTATGATGTAGTTAAAACTATATTGGATGATAGTTTGTGTTTTGGACTGAAATAAATCGTGGGTCAATTCACCATGAACGGGAACAGATTTTGAACGCAACACAAGGGTTAAATTATTCATCAGTCAAATATCATTAATACATCCCTGCAATAAGCGACGTTCATCTTTCTTCCTCCTAATGAATTTAAAAATGAATATCCAGAAATAACAAAATGTATATCTGTAACTAGTTTAACAGACTTCATATAATCATTATTAACTATTTAGATTATCTATATGTGATGACTTTATCCAAAGTAAAATTAACACGTCAACAATGTTTTAATAATGACTCTCACCGCCTGAGTGTAACACAGTAACACTGCATGGCTAACCATAGGGGATACACATGGTGACAGCTAGTTAGATTTCTAAAAATGAAATGCAAATGTTATCTAGCTTGATTTACAGATTGATAGATAACGTTGAAATGAAATCTCAAAATTCTAATACTCTGACTTTTTTTTTTACTCTAAAATGTCTAACTTCTTTCTCCAAATCCTGACTTTTTAAAAAAATTCTGACTTTTTCTAAAAATCTCAAAACATTCTGACTTTCTTCACAAAATCTGAACATTCTGACATTTTCTCAAAATGTTGACTTTTTCTCAACATTTTGAATTTCTGACTTTTTTCAAAAATGTCAGAATACTTACTTTTTCTCAAAATCAAAATTCTGACTTTTACTAAAAATAAAAATAAATCTGACTTTCTTCAAAAAATTCGGACTTCTTTCCTTAAATCGACCTTTGTCTTCTGTCAGTGAGAGTTATTCTAAAGTGTTTACATGCTGCTAGTGCTAACAGGAAGACATACGGGTTTAAACATGCAGTGGGAATAAGGTGAATAGAACAATATCGTTATAACCTTTGGTGAAAATGAGCTAATTCCAGGAGTTTTCCTAATCTGTTGTAAACCAAACACAGAGTCTCGTAACACCTGGATTGCAGCTGTTGGCCTTTATTAAATCTGCACGCTGTAATTGTTTCATCAGGACCAAATAGCTGAAGAGAATGAACACCGCCCGGGGTCAGAGCAATCAGATAATAGGAAATACGTCGCTCTCTTAATGCGACATTTTACCCAACCACATGCACATTCAACTCCGTCTGGATGCTAAACAAGAACATCACAACTGCCTGTTTCCATGTGTGTGATTCCACTCCATCATTGAGTTTCATATCAAGGCCTCTCTGCACAGCGACGGGATGAGATTATTTTCTCGTGGCTCGTGTGGAAGCCTGCAGGCTGATAAACGGGGACTCGACAGTGGTCTTCCCCCATAATGAGAGACATACATTTCCGCTATATTGTGATCTGTTGATTTGAAATAGCAGCGTGTGTGTGCGCTGGTTTTTGTACTGAGGGAAACAGATCTGTGTTGTTGTATAACCAGATGTTGAGAGGCTGATAATGCAACGAGACAGAATTCAGCTCCTTAAAGACTCATTCTGCTAACACTTGAAATGTCTTCACTGAACTCCTGATCATTGCTAATTATTTTCTCACAAACATCAACATGGTTTACAAAACAGCTGACAGGACGAGGACCATGACCTGAGGCATCCTACCCTCATCGTAAGGGGGGGGTCAGGACCTAAAGAACCAGATCTACCATCTTCATCCTACCCTCATCGTAAGGGGGGGTCAGGACCTAAAGAACCAGATCCACCATCTTCATCCTACCCTCATCATAAAGGGGGGGTCAGGACCTAAAGAACCAGATCTACCATCTTCATCCTACCCTCATCATAAAGGGGGGGTCAGGACCTAAAGAACCAGATCTACCATCTTCATCCTACCCTCATCATAAAGGGGGGGTCAGGACCTAAAGAACCAGATCCACCATCTTCATCCTACCCTCATCATAAAGGGGGGGTCAGGACCTAAAGGAACCAGATCCACCACTCTTCATTCTACCCTCTTCATAATAGGGGAGGTCAGGAACACCAATAAAAGAACCAAGTATTCCACCATCTATCATTCTACACCCTCTCATAAAGGGGGTCAGGGACCTAAAAGAACCCCAGATCCACCATTTCATCCTACCTTCAGTTAATCCATCTTCCCACTCACTCATCCCACTCCGAACCGTACCCTTTTCACCCATTCACATTCAGGTTGTGTAGCTTGTAGCAGAGACCTGAGGCGGCCTTTATAAATCCAATGTATTATTTATTCATATGTATTCATTCCGGTGGGTTCTTACCTTGTCTGCAGGGACTGCCCGTTGCCGGAAGAAGATGGGGATGGAAGGGGCCAGCCACACGATGCAGGTGGTGTACATGGTGAACCCGATGGGCCTTGGCCTCGTTTTTAAAGTTTCTCCGGACCCGGCGGGGGTCTTTATAAGCGTAAAACGGTAACGTCCACATCAATTAGGATACTTGTAACCAACGATGCAGATATCTGGAGATCCTTTAGATGTCACAACTTCAACACGCGCGAGCCTTAAACGGGTTGAAGGTCTTCTGCTCCTCGTAGTCTATGATGGGTGTTGGGCGGATCCACTATGAACAGATGAAGGACCCCCATCAGCTGCCACAGGAGATGAGGATGGAGGTGATGGCCATGCTTGCGAGTGGGGCTTGATCAGCCGGAGGCGCCGTCACCGACTTCTTGCCTTGCTCAAAGATCCGGAATATAGGTTGGTTTTGGTGAGGAGGCGCACCGTAACTTGATGCACATTACCCAGCCCCAGGGAAGATCCGTACTGAACGAACACACGGCCCACGTCTGGCTTGGCGATCATGAGGAAGGTGATGATGTAACACAGGAAGATCCCCGTGAGCAGGACGTAGCTCAGGCTCTCTGATCCTGGACGCACGGACGCGGATCGGTGTGTCGTTGTACCGGACGAACGTGGCCATGACGAGGATGGTGGCGGTGATGCCGATCATGGCGAGTAAAAAAGTAAAAGTAAACGGGGATCACGGCCAGGGTGGGAGCTCCACTCCTAGCGTTGGTGATGGGGATGGCTGTTTCAGGCGGTGCGGGTTGGCGATGGGCCTCGATGTTGTGGGAGACAGCTGCAGGTTGAACTCATCGTACTGGTACTGGGTATCCGTCTGCAGGGCTCGCAGTGCCAGCAGCACAGGCATGCCCTTCCCACTTTCTTCCTCTCGCCCGTCATTACAGGGGAGGCTGCAGACGGAGCTGGGGACGTCCTGCTCCCCCCTGAGGGCCACTGCATGTCCTCACCTGCAGACACAACGCGAGGNAGCTGTTTGGCTGATGCAGAGCGGAGTGCACGTGCTGGGGTGTACGGTTTCGTACCATGCTGCGAATGGATCTGGCCCTTCCTACATCCAGGACATGGTTAAACCGTACACCCCAGCACGTGCACTCCGCTCTGCATCAGCCAAACAGCTCGCTGCACCAGCACTGCGAGGGGGACCCAAGTTCCCATCAGCAAAAACACGTGGGTTTGCTATCCTGGCTCCAAAATGGTGGAATGAGCTCCTCATTGAAATCAGGACAGCAGAAAGCTTACACATCTTCCGGGGGAGACTGAAAACTCATCTCTTTCGACTCCACTTCAAGCGATAGAACAATTAACAAAGCACTTACTTACTAATAAAGGACTGGCTTATCTAAAGCCAGTTGAGTAGCACTTGAAATGTTTTAGCTCTATGAAACCTGATGTACTTATATGATTCTGTTTTCTTCTAGTTTGTATCTTCCTGGTCGAATGCACTTATTGTAAGTTGCTTTGGATAAAAGCGTCAGCTAAATGTAATGTAATGTCTTTAGTTCAAATGTATCAGCCTTGCAACAAAACTCAACTTTATAGATCTTCATTTCCTCCTTGTTGTTCTTGTACAAAAATCCAGAAAACCAATTTCTTAACAAAAGCTGCTAATTATTCTCATCCTCCATTTTCGATAGATTGGTAATAATAAGTATATAGTGTAAAAAGATCATTACCATAAGACAATTAAAATCAGCTTTTTCCAATGATTCCACATAACATGAAGAAAACATTCCCCTGTTTAGTTTCACCCAGTGTTGTGAACAAATCCTTCTCAGATTGGTCAAAAGTAGAAAACCTCATGAACTTTTAGCCTTATGAGCCTAGAGGCCATGAGACACTCACCAAACATGTTGCCAATGTGCCCGTTTTTGGTCAAAGGCCGCAGCTCGTTCTTCCCCCAGGCGTAGCGCTTGTAGTTGTCCCAGGAAAACTTCATCATCTGCAACATAAACAGAGCAGACAAACTGGTCAGAGGACAGAAAGCAAAACCACACAGCTCCAAACCCCAGTCATAATTCAATTGTTGTACTGTGGCTCAGAGCCAAACAGAACGATAGCTTGTTGATCAGACAGGATTAAGGGCATTCATGCAATAAACACACATAATGCACACTGCTATACAATATGATTGACTTTTCCCTGCAGCTACTTCTCCTAAATTAAAGATTGAATAATGTCAGTAGATGGAAAGCCAGACATTGATGCCCTTTAACTCCACTGAAAGATATATGTGGATTTGGTGAGATGTGAAAAAGGGAACTGTCTTTTTTCACATTAAAACAGAGCCAGCAAGACAGGGAGTTGAACGATGAAGGGACAGGAAGTGTAATCTTTTCAGCTGAAATCACAAAGTTGAGTCGCGATGCTTCTCTGCCTTTAGCGACAGCGTAAACAATTAGTTAAGAAGCTTGTGACGGAAAGTTGGTTTGTAATAATCTAATACATACATTCAAAGATATTTAAAAACAAATATGAGAGCATAATAATACTGGAAATGCCGGTGTAGAGCTCGCACAGGTTCAGAAAACAAACTCTACTGATAGCTCCCAGGTTATTAAAGTATATCTGAGAAAGCAACAATTAATTAAAAAATATCTGTGAGGCATTGCCAAGGAGATATCACAAATCAGAATAAAGCAATACAGAGAATTGGGCCAGCTACCCACCCGTGTTTCGCAGGTGTAATGTCTGCTATGCTTATTTAGCATATTGGCATGCTAACATTTGCTAATTAGTACTTATTCCCTGAAGTGGGGCATAACGTGATGTACCAATAGTCATGGGAAATTCTTAGGAAAAGTAGGAGGTTTGTCAAAGTTAGCAGGTCCAGCAATATATGTACTAGTTGTTGAGATGTGTGGAGTGGTCGACTCATTGATATTAATAGAAAATAAGGTATGGATTAGTGTGATACCTACAACATATTTGTATTAGACTATAAAGGACATCAAACAACACCATCACCTTTTTGTTGATAAAGACACACTTTTAAGTTCTTTGTGAATCTTGTTTGCATTGATATCTCACATGTATGTCAATAAAACAGTAGTTATGTAAGGCTGTTTCCTCATGATTCAGCTTCTATTAGGAATTTGCCAGCAAAAAAGATGAGTTTTCTTTCAAGGAAATTATAACATTTTCTCCAAAGAGACCTCATTTTGCATGTGCATACGAACAAAGAATATATAGCATTGAATACATTGAAAACTATTACCAGCTGCAAGTATGCAAGTGTGCTTGACTCAAGTGCTTTCAACTGTTATGACATGTTCATGAAACTCAATTGTCTTCTTGCATGATCAAACAAACTTGAAGAGAAAATCCCTTCAAGCAATCTGTCGCAAGATTTTCGAACAGATGTTGAGAGAGGTGTTTGATTTGGATTCTCACAGCAAGACAACATCATCTCTAATATCGAATACAATACGGGACACCTGGCTCTCCAGAGGTGAGCTTGTACAGGCCTGTGAGAAATGGACAACATGAATCCGATGACCTCTGACAAACCCACCAGCTGAAAATCCTGTCACCCAAAAAAGCTCATTGGAGACACCTCAGAGAATACAGCGATCAAAGCGTTTCTCAAACTGAAACAACCACAGTGTCCAGGAACCCAAAACAGCGACTACTGGTCAGGGAGCTGGGATTTGATTATAGGTTAATGATATACCATTCAACCATTTGGAGGCAAGTGTACCAGTTACTAGGTTTGGGATTTGTGCCACACATTAAAGCACAACTGGAACACATTCATAGATCAGAAGGAATAACACATCAGGGTCATCTTTGTTGTATTCGTCTATGGCATTAAATCTGAGGAAGCAGCATTTTAAAGAGTACTTTCTCCATCTACAAAAACAAATACTAATAATGTATGCAGGAGCAATATTATACAATGGAGCAAAAACAAGCAGACTGTATGATTAAAGCAAATAGCACCAAGGAATCTTATGTTCTCAAAAAGGTAATCATTTTCTTCAAAGTGATGGAAGAGCAGAAATACCCGGCGCTAGTAAGATTGTGCTCCGACATAATGTTCTGCCTCCGAGTATGTAACACAGCAAAGTGTCTCAAGTTTTATTTCCAAGTGACTCCATCTTTTATAATGTCAGATTGCCTCGTTCCTCTGGAAGCTTCACAAGTAAAGAAAGTAAAGTGAACGGAGAAAGGTGTTTGAACAAAATGCTGGCCTTGGTACATTTTAGAACTCCGTGTCCCTAAATGTTTATTTGAGGGAAGTTCAGACTGTACGTTTTAGAGTTTTTGCAGAAATTATCAAAAGGCATAATGGAGTCTGTGAGAGAAGCAGGACTTTACGACCACACTAGCAACTGTTGGGGAAAGTATAAAACAGGCAGATGGGATGCTCAAACTGCATGACTGAAGGCACAGAGAATGTAAGATGGCAGCATTAATCATCAATGGCGGGACTCTAAAAGGAGCTAAAAGAAAGCAGCTGGCATCGAGTGGATTTGATGGAAATTCTCACGGTCTTATAGATGATTGATCAAAAAGAATACGCAACAGATCAATCAGTAGTGAGAAAAGAAACCCTGGATTGCCTCATAACTTGTCACAAAGTATATTCTGATGGAGGGATCACGAGATCTTGCGTTAAGAAGTTTTATTCATTCAAAACATTCAACACAGAACGCAATTTCATACCTTTTCAAGAGAAAACCGGACAAATGATGAATGGATGACCAATGAGCCTGGAATGATGTTTTATTAGCTCAGGGTTATTTTTCATTACTTATTACTTACAAAATGATATACAAATTAGAGCGACCTGGGCCAGGGTAAGAAGCATATCATTATATGGGCTAATCAACTGAAAATTATTCATTTAGGTTTTTTTCCTTTAATTAAACTCACATCGGTATGGATGAGCCCATTGTATGGCTTGGGGATTTTGCGCACTCACTGAAGCAACGAGATAAATAAATGTTCCGTAGATTATGAAGTACCTTTCCTCGGGTACAAGGCAATCACTATGTGAAATGTGAGCGGCCAGGTAGTGTAAACGTGACAATAGTGTTCAGCCAGGGTCAATTACATCTTCTAAAAAAAAACACCCATGGTGTTAAAAAACAAACTGTTAAAAGGTTTTGGTAACTGAATTAAAATAATTAAAATATTCCAAATACCAGCACAGACAAAAGCTTTGTTTCATGCAAAAATGTGAGCAAGTTGAAAGCCACAATCCACAAGAATATTTAGCTACAGTAAGTCTCCTACTGCGACTGCAGAAGTTTCATTCCACTGGAGGGAAACAGATATCAGGCATTGTGTTTTCACATCCCTGCTGTTGTGCGCTGCGGAGAGTCAAAGTGTGGGAGGACCAGGGTCACACAGCCGTAGGATTTCTGATGTAACAACCCATCATCACAGCACACACTGCTGTGATCAATAACTGCAACCACGGCCCAGCACGCCACCCACAACACTGCTTCTCCAAGAGAGCCAACACATGAATGATTCTCTTCCACGGGCACAAAAAGCAGAGTGACTGTTCTCCGGTTTGACTAATTGGCTGGTTGTTGGGCAGAGGAGATCAATAACTAAACACAGAGCCAGCGATTAAAATTAATCAGGGATTGACCATGGGTACAACACCATAGCGTAGGTCAGACGTCCCGTGCTGCTAATCAAGTGATCCAGAACATCAACCAGATCATAAGGTTGCATAAGGGATTTCATGTACGCTGCATTAACTCAAAAGCCCTTATCAAAATCTCTAAGGAACAGATGTAATAGAAAATCTTCAAACTGTAGTAATATTCACTTTCCTTCTCCACTTTAAAGAAAATAAACTATTGCTCTCTTTGAAACCACCAGACCCCAAAAATAAGTCTACTAAAAATGATTTTAAGAGCTATTCTTCGCTATACTAGAAATCAACATGTTTGTAGTTTAGATTGTAACACTTCTAGCGGAAATTACACCACATGAGGGTTCAATTATCTCCGTGTTGGTCTTTGCCTTAATAGAAAAGCACCAAAATGGTCTTCAGGGTTTCCTCTGCATCACTCCGAGCAATAGTAGATCTGTCTGGAAAAAAATGTGAATAGCACAGGTGCTTAAAGAACAAGAATGACCTTGATAGTCCATTGCGTGAACACTAAAAGAGCAGTAGTTTAGCTCTTACTTTGATTTGAATATGCAGATCTAGCAATCTATAGCTACCGTGGACCACTGGAGTCTTTTAAAGCTTTTCATACTGGTCACTGTGCAAACGACATGTATCCAACCAGGTCCAATGTTTCAAAGAGGCAAAGAACAATGTGGCAGTGACAACCTAAACAAAGACATAATGTATTTAAATAAAAAAATAGATAACAGCTAGAGAGGAAGAGACGGTATAAATGGATGTTGCCAGAGGGAGAGATCTTAATCTGGAGTTCAGATGAACTGATAAGTCTTCTGAAGGGTAAGGCTGTGCTAATATTTAATAATCTAACCAACGGCAAATCACAGTAACCGTAAAACAAATGGTTATCAGCATGTGGGGTTTCCCGCTGGGTTATTCCCATAGAGTATCACTGTGTTTTCTTTTCATCTCATGACTTTCTGCACAACAGAGTTGACACTTCGGATCAGCTGTTTCCACTTTTTGATCTTCAATATAAACTATTCCCTGGGAACACTTCCTGCTCGGTTTCTTCTCCTAAGGGCTTTTAAAACCCGCTTCCTAGGATGACGCACTTCAGTTAAGGTAAATCGAGTCGGCACAGATGGTCTCTCTGAGGCTTGGGTTTAAGAAGTGCAGGTTATGGGATACAAGCTACTTTCCACACAAACAGAATGTATATTTTACAGCAAAAACTATATTTATCTAGCTGCCTCTACAAATTCACATTGAGTGCAGTTGTTGCTAATTAGCCAACAGTGTGGGCAGAAGTGGGCTGCTCCACCGGTGAAGATCACACTGATTCATTG